GTAACAATTCCATAAACTAATTGAATACTTTGGTGATCTACGACCTTTTCTTCGACCCATTGGGYGGCCTATCCAGGTGTCTTCAAAGTAGTCAATAAGTGGTTGTAAAATGTTTTCGTTATCTGTGTAGTATGGTGAATTTATTAATTCTTCAAACGCATCTATCACATGATTTTCTGGTACATATGCTAATGCTAATAAGAGCCGTATCTGTATTGAAAATGTCGAATCTGATATATATTTTTGGGCCATATATTGAATTTGTTGTATTTTACGCCTATACATTGGGAAAAATGGAAATGGCATCCTTTTTGTTTTACATTAGGAAATACTTCTTTAAATGCATTAATTGATGCCATTTCAAAATCTGACATAATTGATGTTGGCGATAAAGTTGATTTAATTGTTTTTAATTGTTTAAGGAGGTGTACATATGTTTTTTGTGATTTGTTTGGTAATAAAGMGTAAACAGTTGGTATCAACGAATTTGTTGTTAATACGTGTATTGTGTAAATTTGAGTGAAAAGTGTCGGAGTGCACTTAAATGTACCATCAACGAACCAATTATTATATTTTTCCATTAATTCTAGATTCTCTTTTGTAAAAAATATTAAAATACGTTCATCTGATGGGCCGCTATCGTACTGCATGAATTGCCTTCCATCTTTAGTTAAAGTATACCTTTCGGGTATTTGGAGGTTAAAAAGTGACTGAGGATTCGGCGGTGCACAATCATYACGTTGGCGTACTCTTCTTAACGTGTGTTTWAAATTAGATATTTCGGGTAATGCACCTGATATCACTGGATTTAATTGTGATGAAGCGATTATTTGTTGAGAGTTATCTTGTGACGATAGTGCTTGGAATTTCATTCTCTCGACTTCTTTTTTTACTTCTAGTTTGCATATATCTGGAACGTGGTTATGCTCTGAAGGCTCTTTTTTAATTATATTATMACTTGTAGTTGTTAATCGACCCTTACATTTCATATCTATRCATTTCCAATACTTCGATTCCTTGTACATTTTTTCCTCTCTATATGTATAACTATTATAAACTAGTAAAAGCTTATTTTTATTAGATTTAATGAATTCCATAACTTAAAAAATCAAATTTAAAAAATACAGTTCATATAAGAAATATAATAATAAGCACAACACTTTGCAAACGATTGTCACATTGTCGAACGTCGTACAAAACTATTTGATGTCCATATAGTATAGGTTACATTATGTACACTATTCACGACAAAATGACAAAAGCGATAACGGATATTACCTTGAGTCACAATAATAATGACAGACTAATAAAGATTACATTATTCCCTAATCTCTGTTTAATATTTACTATAAAAACAAGAGTTTTCCCCTAAACATTCGATATATTATTTTTCGCTATAATTAAGTTTTGTTATTTTTATTTTCGATATTTTTAATTCGCTATTTTGGCCGGTTACCCCCTGGTAGTAATATCATAATAATAATGCTGGAGAGCAGCGGTGTAGTGCCAATAATAATAAWAATAATACATGTGACATTATATATATTACTACTCGTATGAATATTCCTTCAAGTAGGTCACGCAGGAATTGTGTGTTTTAAACGGATATCACAATATCAAAAATTGTATAAGGRACATCCTGTTGACAGCCACACGCACCGTATATGACCGTGGGAATTACGTAGAATAGATAAAATGACTAGAGTTGGGACTTGGGATTCTCTCTATGAGAGGAGGTCGTCGACGACACAATCAGACGGACCATCACCAACGACCAGCTAGGAGCTAGGAGTAACAATCACATCTCGCTAGCTACCACTCTATTAATTTGGACTTATAGAAATTTCAACATAGTAACTATTATCACTTGTGTTTTATAAATTAAATAAAGTGTTACACTATACTCAACATCWATCTATCTTTCATATCCCATACCTAAAATCGATCTGACAGAGTTGGATCGTAACACTACCATAATATAATTTGACCAAGAATTATGTATCAAGATTAATAATAATAACAAGATGTTGTAAACTTAACTATGAACTGTAAATGTGGTATACGCTTAGGATCAATTAGCTTGTACCACAATCAGACAGCATCATATTCATTCCTTTTCAATGTTATCATTATTACTTAATGACTAGTGACTATTTGGATTCATTATTACCACAAATGTTATTATGGTTCACTATTCCWATAAAAATAAGTAAATGAAGCTGATGGAATCTAAATGGAAACTTATTATTGAGAGACTCTTTTCAATGTATGAATTGATTCAATTTGGTTAGGGCCCAGCCCGGGCCATTTGAGAGAAAAATTTAAATGTTTACAGACTTGACAATTAGATTACAATTACTGGTTACATGTACAACTTTACTATAAGTAATGAATACATATATATATATATATATATATATTGAAAGTGTTATAAATAAAAACCAAAGCAAGAAGTGTCAACATTGGCATCTTCAAATCTCTCAAATCTTCTAATTGGTTCATTCATCAAGTAATTAGAGATGCAAAGCGGAATTTAAAAAGAAATACTATTTCTAATATTTTGTTGTGGTACTCTTAAGTTAGTTAGACTTAAGAAGTAAGGAGAATATACTTGTCTTGATAATAATCCATTTAAAAATGTAAACCTAAGAGTATGTCTTCGTTTATCAAGGGTATCCATAAGCGTAAAATGGGAAGGGGGCTAAGGAGGCTATAGCCCTCTCTCGAAATTCTGTCCATGTATGAGAACTGAAACATTTTTATTTGAAAAAAAAGGGTATCTATATCAAGAAATTTGGAAACAGAGGTGTAATCGTACAGTGAATAGTGTTTGTATATTGGGTAAAATAAATCCATCAAACCTAAGAAAATGTCTTTACACCATTGTCTGTTTCTATCTAATAATAGTTACCTGATTAATTTGAATCCCGAAGAACAGCACCATACTCTAAAATCAAACAGAAAAATAAKCTAAAACATGTTTTTAAAGATAGACCAAGTTTAGTCATGTCCTAGTCTTTTTATGAACCCAAACATCTTATAAGCTTTACAAAATACAACATATATTGATATGTAGTCCAGGGTCAAAAGAACTAATTACTAAACAAGCCCAACTCAACTATAGTTTTTACATACAACATTTCTAAATTTTTTAGCTTCACAGGACCATAGAATTTCTATTTTCAAGTGGATGACATTATGTGACACTTATCAAGGTTCAACGTAAGGTCTAGAATTTGAGACCACTAAGAAAATTGTTTACATTATTTCAAAATTGTCTAAAGCTTAAGACATCAAAATAATTGATGTGCTTAAATATCTCCATGCCATCTACAGAACAAAGTAGTTTGTAATGAAATATTGCTAACACTATTTAAAAATAAAAAAAATAATGGCGACAAATCACCACTTGCAGAATACCAGAAGAAGACATAAATACATCTTTTTAGTTTACACCGAACACTTAAACTACCAATATCTATCACAAAGAGACAGAGAAATACAGTATATAAGAGGTTTACCAAATCTTAAAGGATACTGATCAGTACACCTCACAAATCATTGAATCGAAAACTTTTTCCAGATCAGTAGGATAGATTACATTAACCTGAATATGATTTTTGAATGCATCATTAACTAATGAGATAAATACAAGATTACATGAGAGAGTAGATCAACCTGGTTAAAAGCTATGTTGTTCTTCCAACATTTAAAATGTCTTTAACCATTTGTTGAATATATTTTAAAATATGAAATTTCAATAAATTTGATGTATGAAGTTGTATAAAAATATTCCTATGAATCAAAAGTATTAAGGCAAACTACCTGTTTATGAATGCCATCGGCATTGGGTATTAGTGGAAAAGTACTTTCATTCAATTATATTCTAAAAAGGTGAGACAAAGAAAATGAAATGACGACTTTATTTGAAATAGCAATTCCTGTATAAACCTACTGACCAATTTCTTTTAGAAACGGACAGTTCAATGAAAACATCTTAACAAAAATAACCATTATTGGAAATTTCTGAATTTGAAATACTAGGCACTCTGTTATAATCAATGTGAAATAATTAAGATATTATAAATATGTATTATCTTAAAAGCAGTAATAGAATCATAATATTTATAAATTGCAAGAATATACAATTTGAAGTCTAATCTTAATTTTATTTACTGTAAAAATATTTTAATTCGATTTATGTTGGTATTTTATTTATATTTTATTCCCTGAACTTTTTTTTTTTATTATGTTTATTTAAATTCAATATTATATAAAATGTATTATAATATACTGTTATGAAGGCAATTATGTGCTAATTTATTATATTAATATGTTATGATTATTACTATTTAATGTGACAACAGACAACTATTATTGTAAAATATGACATCATATAATATAATATTATGTTTAATTTGATTATGATGGGAACATAGTTATAAACCAAAAAATTTTGGAAGTTATGATTATTTTGTATAGACCATACACCAAAAGTATTTAGCTATTTTTCATTAATTACATTTTTATTGTTTCAACATATAATTTTTTTTACAATTTTTAATTATGTAGTTTAATCAATAAAACTTATTGCTGTGATATATATTGTTATAACATTTTGAACGATGTCCTCGAGAGAGTAAAGATTTGTATATTATAATAACGCAAAAATAAAATTGAATTTGATTATGAATTATTAAATTAATTATTTAATTATATTGAATATGATAATAATATAATAAATAAAATAACCAGCAAATCATATATTACATGCCAGTACATTAAAATATGTCATAAAAAACTACTGTTATCCCAATAAAAACATTTCATCAAACTCCGTGTAAAAAAAAGGCTTAAGTCTGAAAAAAAACTAGTAATTCATAAGACTTCAGCATTATAAAGATGTGGTATCATGAGTAAATGTTAAGTAAATTAAATTTATTCTCAATAATTTATTTATTCTGGAAGGAATTTTGGTTATAAATTAAAAATGAAGAACTTTTTATAAAATAAATTAAGTAACAATAGTAACATTTGTAATGGTAATCATTAATATTCCAAGTATGAACGAACATGTTTATTTGTTGAAATAGATTGGTTCTAGCAAAGTAAACAAATTATTGAGATAGAATAAATTTAATTTACATAGCATTTATTCATGATATTATATCTTAATAATGCTTACATTTTATGAACGACTAGTTTAATAACTTAAGTTATTAATGTTATACACTTTTTTATTTTTTTGTGTCTGTGCACACACAATTAATAGTGTAAATAATGCTTCYGATTTCAACTTCAGTATCTTGTTCGATGGGAAAGTGAAGTTAGTTGGTATTTTTGGTTTTGGGAGGTCATCATTTAAAATTCCCAATAGTTTCAAAAGCGCCCGAAAAAACAAATGAAAAATTCATGAAAAAAACGGGAATTTTTATGCAAAACCGATATGATTTTTGGYGTAACTCTACAATTAAAGACTGTAGATACATGCGATTTTGACTGAATATATATATATAAATATTAGCTCTATACAATTTTCAAAATATTTTGAGCTGTTTATGAGCATTTTCAGTTTCAAATTTGTTTTTATTTTTTTTTTTTTCTATAAATATCAATAAACTTTTATTTGTTAGATAAAAAATCTTGAAAATTTAATATTTAATAAAAGGCTCCTAATATTATACCTACTGTTTCAACGGCAGATGAARAATATTAAAACTCCGTAGTCAGAATATTTTTCACAAGCATTTAAAGTTCAAATTTCGACAAAATACTAAAAATGACGAAAATTTGCAAATTATTTTGAGTTAGAAATTATAGAAAAATCTTTAAATGTTTTTAACAGTTATATAGAAAATAATCACTTGCAAGTTGTGGTTATACATTTCATGTATAATATAATGTGATTGTGATATGTATATAGTAATAAAAACATTATCTTTAGAATAATTAACTATATTAATTATTATATTAATTCATATATTTATAAATTAAAATGAGTAAAATCAATCATTRWATGGTACATTTCAATAAATTATAATAACTATACACAAAAACCAATAGAATATTAATTAAAATTTTTTACTGACTATGATTATTCAAAATGCAGTTAAAGTATAAAATATTTAAATTTGTATTACATAATAATGATAATTTCAAAATGCTAATAATAATACACATTATTTTAAGAGAAGATGTTAAACATTTAAATATAAACATAATTATAATTAGTTAACATATTTTAACTTAAATGATAAAAAAATCCAGTCAAAATAAAGAACATTTCTTTATTTCCTTCGTACCGTTGATAGCCATAATAAGTAATTATTCAAATTAAAACACTATTAATAAATAAAACAAAATCGAAAGGTTGCGAAACAAAACTATGAGAAAGGCATATAAACGTATGAAATATTTGTTATCGTTCTATAGTTTGTACGACGATGACGTCACAACGTCATTTTCTCCCACTCCAGTTTTTTCAATATTTTCAAAATGAGGCAACCCATATAATCTATAAACCTTGAATAGTATCACAGTGACGTCACGTATTATATAATTATATCTATAATCTGGCAAGAGATTCGTGGTACTGGGGTTTCGAGTTTTGTCAACACTGGCGCTATCTAGGTATCTAAAATAAAAAAAGCGGGAAAGTGGATGTCGCTCTGCTGTACATGCAGTAGGTAACAAGTGGGTTACTGTAATGGATGGAATTAAATTTGAATCCGATGATATTATATCATTGTATACGAAAAACGATTCTGAGCGAAGACGGTTTATCTGTCTAGGATATATTAT